AACTGAGACATCAATAATATGTATACAGATCGTTCACTTGCAAAGATACTTTGGGTGCTTGATACATTAAATATTAATTTAATTAATTCTTTATTTATTTACTTATTTTTAGCGAAATTGGTTTGTCAGATATCATTGTTGTAAAGTGAAATGTCCCAAACTGTCTAGTTAACACTAAAAAAAAACAATATGTTCTGCCATCTAGAGACGGTAAGCGAAACTATTATGAAATGTGGAAGTAATTCTCCTGAGTAGTGTTTTTCCTTTTTGTTATTTTCTCACAGAATCGCGAGTAGTAGAAGAAGATAATAACGTTGCTCTTATATACAAATTGGGCGGGCAATTTTTTCAAATCTTGCCTATCTGTCAGGCAAAGTAATTTTTATCTTAACATTAAAAATACTTTTGTGCATCAGAAAATTTCGAACTTTCTTATGCGAATTTTTTATAATGTCCGAATAGTTACCAAACGTTTCCTAAGAGAAAACTTTATATTTTATATATTGTCTTCAGTAATCAATTTCTGTTCGGGTCGGGAAAATTTGAACGATCTCGCAACCACCATAAAATATTATGAAATAAACATAAACATAAATTAAGCATCTTTCATTCTGGAATGAACACAAAGGGATTTAAATTGATAGTTATTGGACGAGCACCAGGACGTGTTTGTTGTGCAACTTACTTCTATTCTATTTTAAGTAAAGGTTCTTAATAATAATTCGGTACACTGTCCATATATTGAAAGATAACTGAACTTCCAAGTATTTCTTTCTTAATTTTTGTATCCATCTATTGAGAGATAACTGAACTTCCAAGTATTTCTTTCTTAATTTTTTATCCATCTATTGAGAGATAACTGAACTTCTAAGTATTTTTTCTTAATTTTTCTCCATCTATTGAGAGATAACTGAACTTCCAAGTATTTTTCTTAATTTTTTCTTCATCAATTGAGAGATAACTGAACTTCCAAATATTTTTCTCCATGTATTGAGAAGTAACTGAACTTCCAAATATATTTTCTTATTTTTTATCCATCTATTGAGAGATAACTGAACTTCTAAGTATTTTTTCTTATTATTGTTTCTCCATTTATTGAGAGATAACTGAACTTCCAAGTATTTTTTCTTAATTTTTTCTCCATCTATTGAGAGATAACTGAACTTCCAAGTATTTC